GGAGGAGCTTAGAAGGCTTGAGGTTATTTTTGTGGACAATGCTAAGCCGGACTTCGATCCTGATGCACTGAATTGACACTTTGCTGGAGTAACTTTTGACGTGACTGAATCATCACTGGACGAATTGTTGAACTCTGTTCAACATGAGGGTTGCTCTACTGTTGGGGGCTTCTCCTTCAGGCCGGTTAGAGCTGATGAAGTACAGAGAGCCATTAGGTATTTCTCTACTGAGGCGAAGGATCCTGATGGGATCCCCAAGTCAGTGATCTTGGCCGCCCTCCCATTTCTCAGGCCTTATATTGTGATGCATTTCAATCGTTCATTTGCTGTATTTTCTTTTCCATCCAAGTGGAAGAGGTTTCTTATTGTTGCTCTTGAGAAGGTAAAGAACCCTGTGTTTTCTACTGATTATAGGTCAATAGCCTTGCTAGATTTTATCTCCAAGGTACTGGAGAAACTGGCTTCCCAGTAAATTTTTGGTTTCCTTGCTGAGCGTTCCATACTAGATCCTCTTCAGATAGGTTACCGTCCGCTCAATAGTACACAGACAGGACTACTTAAACTGACAGGTGACATTAGGACTGGTATTGACTGGTATTGCCAACTGATCATGATAGTTTTGTTCGACTTCAGCAAGGCGTTTGATTCAGTCAGCCATGTACTGCTGCTGCGGAAGCTGCTAAGTTTCGGCTTTTCATTTTCAAGGGAGTGCCGTAGAGATCTGTTCTTGGTCCCGTGCTATTTCTACTGTTCATTAATGATATCTGTGGGGATCTGGAGCCTGGGTTTTGCCATCTAATTTACGCGGATCATCTCCAGGTTTACACGTGCTTTCCCCGTGAGGATTTAGAAGATGCCTGACGTCAAATGGGCATCGTTGCCAATCGTGTATTGGACTGGGCTGTTTCTAACCGACTTAAGTTGAATTTGGCTAACAAGGAACACTACGCAGGTGTCCCCCTCCGATTTCGATGAAACTTAAATATGTTATAGAGGAGCCAAAATAAAGGGAGATGTATTTTTTTAGCTGCCCATATTGGGTTTTAGGGGGTGAAAGTACTCTCTGAAGTTGACAACCTCTCGGGGTCATTTTTCGATTGCACACATAAAGAAGCTTTTTGAACAACTCTTTCGCAGTGTATCATGAAGGTTGCAAGGAATGATGAAAAGGCGAATTAGAACCGTCTCCGGGGGGTGAAATATGGAGGATAAACTACCCTTGTGAAAATTCATTTTTCTCATAGAAAAAAACTTTTGATGGAAATCCCATGGGATAAATTCCATTTGAAAAAGTAGACAAAAATACAGAATACCTGTTTTTTTTTTAATCGAAATTTAAAACTTAAAAAATAGATTTTTCGTGAATTGCGAAATTCCAAACTTTTTCCTGTACAAAACGAAGCTTACGGCTAATGATNGGGGGGGGGGGGGAATTTTTTTTAATAAGGGAGAAAAAATATCGATGAGAATTTTACGAAACACATTTCGTTCGAAAGCATGAGACAATTCGAAGCACATCCTGCGATTTTTTTCCCCAAATTAAAATTAAAAGTAAAATACTTTTTTTTAATTATATACAACTCTTCGATTTTTTGGTACATAAAAAAGATGAGTGATGAGTTTCTGGAAGTTGGAGGAACACTTGGAGGCTAAATAACCTTTCTGGGAGTTACTTTTAATTATATTAGTGAACAGAATTTATTTGAAAGAGTAAAGAATAATAAGAAATATCGAAATTTGAACCCATGAAAATGTACATTGATAGTTATATATGAATTACAACCTTTCAATTATCCGTCTAGTTGTATCACAGTACCATAGTCCGAACTAAATGGTAAGGATTGAATGAAGAAANTGAGTCTCTGGAAGTAACACTTGGAGGCTAAATAACCTTTCTGGGAGTTACTTTTAATTATATTAGTGAACAGAATTTATTTGAAAGAGTAAAGAATAATAAGAAATATCGAAATTTGAACCCATGAAAATGTACATTGATAGTTATATATGAATTACAACCTTTCAATTATCCGTCTAGTTGTATCACAGTACCATAGTCCGAACTAAATGGTAAGGATTGAATGAAGAAACGATATGGAAGGAAACAATGATGGTAGTAATCCCCAAATGATGGAATTCAGAATATACATTGATATTATTATAGAAGTTCAGACCATTTATTCCTTCTAATATTATGTTCTCAATCAGCATACATTCTGTGGGGATCAATCGACAGTATAGATAGTATTAGGGGACGTAATGCGTACAAAAATGATATTCTTCAAACAAATGCAGCAAAGTGATTTTTTGCACCATGAGCATCTGACTACTGCAATATTGGAACAGCTTTCAATACCACAGTACGGATGAGATGATTGCCCGAATGCAAAATCGACAGAATTTTCGAATTCATCTGGTTTTTTAGAAATGTAACCACTCTGAAACCAAGCGTAACGAAATAAAAATCATGTGTGTGTATCACTTGTACACAAAACGTTGTGAAAACTGTTTTGGTCAAATAAAGTTATGTATATATTTTTACATTTTATGTTAATTATCCACGTCTTTCACAACAATATTCCTTCAAAAATTATCGAGGCACATTTGTAACGGGATTTTCTTATTACGGATTGGAATCCCCCTAGAAAGATATGTGAACTCTTATCTTATGGAAGAGAGACAGTTAGTGACATCTAGAGGCAGCTGAAGAAAGCCGGGACTAGATGAATTGAGTGACAAACCGATGAAAGACCTAAGGCATAGCGGTTATGGGTAAAACCGCGACCCCTGTAGGTCTTGAAATCCGCCCAGCATTTGCTACGGGAAAAGGGACCGACGTACAGGCTGTCCAACTGGGCGATTCCATAGGCTATGTCAGAGTAGACTAGGGAGCAACGGCCAGGTGAGAGGACTGGTGCCCCCGGGATCCCGTCGGGTTAATTGGTGGGGAGAGGGTAACGGAATGACCTATCGTCGTTGAGATATTCAGACTAGGGGGAGAAGGCCCCAGTGAGATTCTGAGTTAGTCGAACGCCGACGCTCAAGCGGGGAAATTTTTCCGATATATGCTGTGGTATTGGCTTGGAAGACGGCCAAAGGAATGGTGGGCGAATAGCTCAGTGCAACCAGGTGCATAACTGATGGTAGCAAACGTAGGGGGATGCTCCTGCATCCCCCATAAACGGGAAAAAGAGTTATTTCGGAACTCTTAGTGACGACTTTGTTGTTTCCGGCGTTATTCGGCTCGGCGAAACAAATGACGAGCGCATGGGCCCGTGGGTCTGGAGTGGAGATCGTCCTCCTGTCGACCCGATCATGTGCCGACATTCGAGTACCCGGGGACGGTGACGTGCGATGACCGAAGTGGTAACTGGTGCCGAGAGTGTGGGGGGTCGTAAAGTGGGTAACAGTGTTCCACTTTGGTCGGATCAGCCTCTCGGCGTCCCAGGCTGTGAGGAGTCCCGGCTGATTCGCATTTAACTCTGAAACACTCCCGAGTCGAAATACTCGGGAGGAGAAAGCCTACTGAGAGAGTGAAAAACCCTCCAGGACGAGTGTAAATTCAATTTGTATGGATGATTAGGCCGTGAGGCTTAATTTCCAGCCTGGAATAGTGGCTGATGACGTTTGGCATCGGTTACTCGTAGTGGACCTCGCCCACTCTACCGTGTCTCACTGATGCTAGTTGGGCAACCCTTTCCCAGCCACAGAAGTCTTCCGAGTGGACGAGTTTGTCTCAGACGCTGGTTTTCGTCGAACCTCCCGTGAAGGTTCGGTTGGCGCCCGATTATTGAGCGATAGAGACGGCATAGAAAGTAGTTTGGATTTTTCCTGTGTGAACAACCCGGGAAAATATCCTTACACATTTCATTCATATAAAACTACAAATGAGAAGAGCTTTCTGCCAATGACCCGCATTATCATAAAAAAATTCCTTGTTCAATGCATTCCCTGATGCAAGTTAAACCCCACACTCCTTATTGTCCTGGTTCCTCTCCTCAACTAACCACTACCAAACTTTTCCATAGTTTTTCCGAAAATTGTGACCAATTTTCGTATATTAAATCGATACTGAAGAGTCAAGTTATCACGCAAATTGCTAGCTTAATATCTTGCATGGTATCGACGCCAATATGTATTAAATTATTCGTCAATTATACGTCACTTTACTTTGAAAACCACATAATTAGGTAAATCTCATTATTAAAGAGAGGGGTGTGAACTACCCGGGAAAATATCCTTACACATTTCATTCATATAAAACTACAAATGAGAAGAGCTTTCTGCCAATGACCCGCATTAGAATAAAAAAATTCCTTGTTCAATGCGTTCCCTGATGCAAGTTAAACCCCACACTCCTTATTGTCCTGGTTCCTCTCCTCAACTAACCACTACCAAACTTTTCCATAGTTTTTCCGAAAATTTTGACCAATTTTCGTATATTAAATCGATACTGAAGAGTCAAGTTATCACGCAAATTGCTAGCTTAATATCTTGCATGGTATCGACGCCAATATGTATTAAATTATTCGTCAATTATACGTCACTTTACTTTGAAAACCACATAATTAGGTAAATCTCATTATTAAAGAGAGGGGTGTGAACAACCCGGGAAAATATCCTTACACATTTCATTCATATAAAACTACAAATGAGAAGAGCTTTCTGCCAATGACCCGCATTAGAATAAAAAAATTCCTTGTTCAATGCGTTCCCTGATGCAAGTTAAACCCCACACTCCTTATTGTCCTGGTTCCTCTCCTCAACTAACCACTACCAAACTTTTCCATAGTTTTTCCGAAAATTTTGACCAATTTTCGTATATTAAATCAATACTGAAGAGTCAAGTTATCACGCAAATTGCTAGCTTAATATCTTGCATGGTATCGACGCCAATATGTATTAAATTATTCATCAATTATACGTCACTTTACTTTGAAAACCACATAATTAGGTAAATCTCATTATTAAAGAGAGGGGTGTGGTGCACATGGGTAACTTACACTTTGCAACCGATGAAGCTCCACCACTGCTGTCCTGCTTTTTGAAGGTGCTGCCACTCATGGTTACTTTTCCCCTGATATTTTTGTCCGGTTGAAAGACAATAATATAAACTTTTGGTGAATACAGACACACAAGTGTCACCGATGCACTGAGACTTATCGCAACACACAGCGTCGTGATTTGGATTTCATGTGCATTTCCAGTTCCAAAATAAATTGGTACGAATGCCAGCCATATTATGCACGTTGTGTACATAGTGAAACCGATGAATTTACTCTCGTTGAAGTTCTCTGGTATTTTTCGTGTTTTTACTGCATAAATAGTACAGACGACGATGAGAAAGGCATTGTAAAGTTGTGAAAATAAGAAACTCATGTCCTGAATGTTGCATTTTAGGATGACTTGACGACGGTCTGGGTAGAAGTGACGGGTCCCCGGGGGCTCAACTATCATCCAAACGAGGGTTAAGACTACTTGAAAAGCGATCAGCACTGCGGCTATGCAGACTTGCGAGGTGGGACTTATGTAACGGGGGCGAACCGCTGATCTTGAGGCTGAATCGAAGATTCTTGCGATTCTGAAACATGAGAGAATTGATTAGTTCTTTGTTATTTTTAGATATTATCTGTGGATAAGTTTTCTGAGTACAGAAGATGGAGGAGAAAATTATTTGATACTTCATTTTAAATATTGTTTGAAATAACTTTACATATTTTCGCTGAAACTAAAAGTTAAGACAACATTCCAATTTTTGCTTCCGAATGGAAGCTTTGTAATCGTCCGATTTTTATATTTTTAATTTTGATTGAAAATGATATCGAATGGTCCGAAACATAAAAATACGCATTTTGACGGAGGTTGCCGAAGCTACCGATAGCTTAGTTGGGAAAGTGCCCGGCACGTAACTGAGAGACCAGGGTTCGAAACCCGGCTGGGCGGTGCGAGATTTTTTTTTCTCTAAATTCTAATTCTCTCAATTTTTTTTCATCGGTGACTATACATACATACATATCTGTATGTCGTCACGTCTACGGCCACCTTCCCGGTTGTCCATTTTTGCAAAATAGAGTAATCAAGTGTCAGATTAATTAAGCGTTAAACTATTTTGTCCGATTATAGGTCTTAATGTGGCCTAACTCTGTACAAAATTTCAGCGCCATCGGTCGAATAGTTGTCTAGAAAAAGCAATTCGTTTGTAAATCGTTTCGCGAATATCTTAAGAACTAATGCACTGATTTAGATTTTATTCCAAAATATTCGTCTCGATGTTCTCTACCTCAATCAATCAAAACATACAGGGTATCCCATTTGCAACAGTACGGCTCAATATCTCTTGTAAGAAGAGAGGAACAGGAAAATTGTTCAAATACAAGTTGTAGGGTTCGGAAGGGGAAATTGCTAAATTGCCCATTGCTTATGTTCCTATGCTGCGAGCATGAAGTCAGTTTTTTGAATGACAACAATATTTTTCACCCCTACAAAAGGGGTTTGTCTCGCCAAGAAAAGTTCAACCATACCATGTTTTTCGATAACATCATCGTTTTCATGTGAATAATCGTATGAAAATCAAATTAACGGAAAATACCTTTAAAATACCTTTTTTAAGACTATCTTACAAGTTCCATTCCGCATTTGGTACATGTATCTTCATGTAGGTATCGCGAACAGTAATTACTACAGATTGATGTAGATAATTAGACAAAGAGAATAGAAAGCAGATTGATAGAGATATTCAGACGGATGAAAACAGTTCTTATAGTGTAATTCAGATATTGAGACTAACAGAAATAATCTTTGAACAAACTGATTTCCTGGGATTGAAAACAGATTATTACCTGGGAATTAAACAGAGAATCTTGAAATTCAAACAAAAAAGAAAGAATAAAAGGAGTGAAAATGCCGAAAAGATATTTAGAATTGACTGATGAGAAATTGGAGAGTGGCAGATCGAAAAAACCAACTTCCATGGGAGAGAAAAATGAAACTGGCGGAATGGATGAAATTCCAATAGAATCCATGAGAATAAATAGTCATGTCACTACTACGCGTTCAGAATCTTACTAAATGTCACAAAAATCAGTTCTCAAGGTCATCTCTCATGATCACAGGTATTCCAACTATTCCAAATTGGATCATAAATGCAGAAAGACTATTACCAAAAAGAAGGTCCCTTCACAAAATTATCGATCAATCAATCCTGTTGGATTGAAGAAGGATGAATCCGCATTACAAACAAACGATCGACTTTTCCAACATTCACCTCCCTCTTTGGTTAGTAATCATTCTGACATGAATAATTTCAATAATACTCCAAGTTCTCTCATGCCACAACCAGTATCTGACAAGGGAATTCCGATATCCAATTCTAGGGAAATGGGTAATCAAAATCCAACGTCCTGTCACAGGCTATCAGAAGAGATTTTTCAAGTGCATGATGCTAATGATAATCACCAGGTATTGTGCAATAATTCTTCAGAATTTTCAGTGTCCCAAAGTCAGGTTTCAACCCATTCGCAAACACGTAATCGATTCGTCCATAATGTTAGTGGTAATATGACTATTACGCAGGAAACAAACAGAATTTCTGAACATTATCTCGGTCCTATGAACATCCCATGCGTTCATTGCGGAGCATTGAATTTTCCTGCGGAAAGAATCCCAGGTAAAGGTAACTCATTCAGTGACTGCTGCAGACATGGAAAGGTTGTTGTTCAAAATTTACCAATTTCCCCGCAAATTCTGAAAGAACTATTCGATGGAACACATGAAAAATCGAATCACTTCTATCAGAACATTCGGTCTTACAATAACTCATTCTCAGTTGCTTCATTTAACGCCAACTTTGTGAATGTTAATAACAGATGTGACATCCGTCGAAAAATGCTTTATAATCCATTTTTCCTAAATAATTTTCTCTATGGAATAACCATTATTTCATAATTTTTATGAACGCATATCTGTAAAGAGAGTCAAATGCGAAGATCCCAAAGGTTCCTTGTAGGAATAGAGAAGGTGGAATAATAGATTGGAAAGGGTAACCCAATCAAATGTAGAGACGACACCCATAAAAATTATCCATGTAGAATTAAATCACGAATGAATGAATTAATATTTTCTTGTTTTAAAATTGTGGAAACTATCAAATATTACAATTTAACAAATTAGAAAGACATGAGATGTCTGTGAATCTCATTACCAGTTGGCAATAGAAAAATCAATAACACCTCTGAAAATGTATGAGAATGAGAATGGGGTGAAACCTACGTTTTGGGGCTAACCCGGAACCTCACCGTTTAAGAGGTTTCGCGGCTGACTAAGCTGGACAGTGACCATATAGCGGAAGTATGATGCTTTGACTCAATTAGGGGAAAAACGCGTAAAAATAACCACAAGTTATGATACGTCAATTAGGGGAAGCAGATGGTTGACTATTCCCTTTACAAAATTTGGAAAAACTACGCAAGTCCAAACGGAAAATGAGGAGGCCTAATGTCACCTAATCACCAATCAACGCGCTCCATGAAGGGATAGGAGAAACGTCACCACCAATCCCCGAATAATATTCAAAGAAATCCAATAATTTGGTGGATACCTGCAGCAGACAATGGTAAAAACAGGGGGAAGCTTCTAGAACCTTCCACCCCTGATGACACACTTTCGATTCAATATAAAAAGGGAGCCGCGACGCGGAAAAAGTCAGTTCCACTACACGTTCCAGTTCTTCATCAACCCTTCAGTTGGCTACTTTCATCGATTCTACAAGTGCGATAGTCACAAGTTTAGAATTAGCAGAGAAGCCCATTCTCTGAGTTAGATAAATTCATTCAGTCCTAAAGTGGGGACCCAAGTAATTTTGAAGTAACAATCAAATGTAGAGTTTTTCGTAACTTTACTTATTTAAAATATTCTACGACTTTTTGTCAATGAATAGAATCTTTCATGATTCTTTGATAATTTATGTTGTCAACTGAAAATATCGGAACTCAATTAACATCTTGGAACTCAAATCATTATTATTCATTCATTCAAAGTAATTAAAACGAAATTATTGTAAACAAAAAATTTAAGAATTAGGAAACGACAAACCTGTACAAGCACAACGAGAAGAAGGTCACGTAAGTTGTACGACCATCATTATAATTGTAAACTCACCAAAATTTCAGAATATAATTGTTCAGATTTACAATTCTTTTATTTAAAACTAACGCCTTGTGTTTCCAGCCAAGACACTTTCCCATTGATAATACTGGGGAATAACTAACTTCAATTCAAGGGGACCTTATTATTCAACCCTCTAGTGATTTGTTTTCTAACATTTGCCAATTAAAATTTATTTCAAAAGTTTTCATACTTTTCATATCATTTGCACATGACAACCAATGTTATAGTCGCGATTTCATCATTCCCGACATAACACAGACGACCAGGAACTTTTTGTTTAAAAATTCAAGGTCAAACTTACTATCAAATTAATACGGAACTATATCCAGCTGATAATGAGTTACCTAGCTTTGGACAGCTCTTCATAATCGATTCTGATGACGTGACCAATCGTAGATTCAATGCAAATACAAATTTGAATGCCGAAGTTCTTGAAGCAATTGATAATGCAATGAGAATATCTAATATACATGTTTTATCATATCAAATGATGAAAGAAGAGCTAGATTTCATGACGTCAAGGAATAATGGCGTTGAACCAGAACTTGAGTTATTATTCTCATTAAAAAAAGGATTAGATAGACGGCGTTACAATTTCCAACGTGTTAACGAAGTTGCGGCAGTTTTTTCAACAAGAGCAGATGGAGATATTCCAGAATCATATATTACTATTCGGAATACATCGGACAAAGTTTTACAATATGTCAGTGCAATGAATGAATGGGTTGAACCATGGACTTGTTTTTTTTTTTTATATTCCGGCCCTTTCTGCCCTCTGATTGGCTAATGGGCCCTCTCCAACCCTATGCATGCGGCTGTGGATTCGACACTGCACCGCATTCGCACTCCTATAGAACATAGGACTAGCATGGGAAACCACAGAAAACCCATGCCGGTACAGGCGGTCACTATATTAGCGACCTCACAACCTTTCGCATACTAGGCTCGCACCTAGCCGCTTCCGCCACCGACGTCGGTGAACCATGGACTTATCCATTATTTTATCCATATGGAACTAGAGGCTGGCATGATAAAATGAAACAAACTGATGGTAAAAACAGAGTCACGAGAAATGCGTACTTCAAGTATCGAATGGCATTTCGAACCGAACCCAATTATATGTTGTTGGGACGCAGATGATTCCACCAATGGACAGTTGATAGCTATGTCAAAATGGAAAGAGATAGAATAAATTATTTACGTTCGATACAACAAAAACTACGCGTGGATTGCTACGAAAATGTAATTGACCATTTACAACGACGGGCTCAAGATACGAATAGTCGCATTGGTAAAATTGTCATTCTGCCATCTTCGCATGTAGGATCACCACGTTATATGTTGCAAACTTATCAAGACTCGATGACGATAGTTCGTAATTTTGGCAAACCAGATTTATTCATTACCATGACCTGG